GAACGATCTTATGCAAAAGAAACAATCTTGCCCTTATTAGGCTAAACGATTGTATGATAATATAAAAACTAAGGGTCTTTTGGTAAATACCTTCTTGCGTAACTTGTCATCACACATCTCAACATAAAAAATTTCTCATCACGCATAAAGAGTATTGTAGGTTCCATAATAAAACTAGCATTTTGGTTCAAGAAAATTAAACAATGTAACTAGAAACACTTGTTCGTATGGGGTGGCATTACAGTGGAAAAGTGGGCCAAACGCTCCCTCACCCTCATCCCTCTTCTCCTCTCCTCAAAGAGCACTCAGATTCGATTCATGTAAGAGACAATATTGAGACAATCCATTATGATACTCCCCCCTCTCCTCTCTAGCAAATGACAAAAAAAACGAAAAAAAAAACCTAGAAACCCTCACACATGTTATCAATGTGAGGAGTAGTTATTACAGGAGGAGAAAAATAGAGAGGTGAGAAAATTGTGAAGACATTGTTTTTTTAAGAAAACTTGTTGAATAAATTATAATTACTTGTTTACCCTCACTAAGTTTGTCTTTATTTTCTTTTAATAAAAGTAAAGGTTATAATTTCCATTCGATATCTATTCTTTCCTTCGGAATCTTATATGTTCTTCTTTTTTATTTAAAGTTTGTACTAAACATTTATAGTTATAATGATCTCCAATATATGGTATAACTCGTCCAATTGGAATTGACAAGAAAGTAGGAATTCCTACTTCAAGAAGAAGACAAATATTCTCCAAAAATGTCTCCCGATTCAAAACACTAGGAAAAATTGGTTTGCCATGATATCTTTACCCAATTTTTATGTATAAAAAAGTTAAAAATTATAGATATGAACAAAATATAAGTAAAAATATAACGTCAACGATATCAACATATGTGAAGTCAGTCTCATCGATGGTCCAGGTTTCCCATGGGAAGAAAAACTGGAAACGCCGTGGGAAAAGAAAAACAAAGAGACTTTTATTTTGTAAGTCTTTTTATATAACAAATTAAAAGGTCCAAGTTTTGGTCCTAATCTAATTTCTAAACAGCAAACGCTGACGCAAAGAAACATTACCACCAAACAAGCAAACAATCCCCCACACAAGAAATCAAAGTGAGAATAAGGAAAACCCACTCCCCAAATTATCTCAATTTCTCTCCTCAAATTCTCAATCTTCGCATTGCGGGGGCTTTGATTCTCTTTCGATACTGGGTTTTGACAGGTACGCCTTTTTCCTGAGATCCTGACCCCAAGTCTTCGAGATTTACTTATCTTCTTCGTTTTGATCCTTTTGTCAACTGGGGTTTTAAGGTTTCTTTGTGGGTCTCTCGTCTTTATGGCATAGGACCATTATCTGTGGCAAATTCAAATTTTGATTTTGATTTGTAGGTACTGATATTATTTTGGGCTTTGCTTATTTGTTTCAAAATTTTGTGAGTTTCTTGTATGTAGTTGATGTTAAGGTTTGGTTGGTGTTAATGATACTTTGTTGACGATCCGATTGCTAATTCTTCTAATTTTGGGTGTGTATTCTGATGGGGCTTTTGTCGATGAGCAGATATTTGAATTTGATTAGACCCCTTTTGCTTGCAGTTTGTATCTTGGATACTTTTGGATAAACTCTCTAGTGGAAATTCCAGTTACGCTCAATTATGATTATTGTTCATTCCTTATTTTTGTTTTCTGAATTCTCATAGAATGAGTGCTATATGTTTGGATTGGGATTCTCATAAGTTTTATCTTGATGGGTTAATGAAAATAATTTATATACTTATTGGAATTAAATAAAATTACTGACATCCAGCTAATTAGTGATTGATGCCTTGTGATTTTCTGTTTCTTGCATTTAATTAGTTCTTGTACATTCACAAATGTCAGGACTGTACATAATTGAACTTTTGTTTGGCTTATGATCTTAGGAAATTTTGAGGATAAAGGACTTGAGTGAAGGGATTAGGACATCAGACATGGCTGGTA